GGACCACTCTAGGCACCCAGACCACTTCAGCTTAATGAAGTGGTCTGGGTGCCAGGTCCTTCTAGGGTTAACCCATTGTTTTATAAACATAGCAGTTTCAGAGAAACTGCTATGTTTATGAATGGGTTAAGCCTTCCCCCAATTCCTCTAGCAGCTGTCTCATTGACAGCCGCTAGAGGCGCTTGCGTGCTTCTCACTGTGAAAATCACAGTGAGAGCACGCAAGCGTCCATAGGAAAGCTCTTGCCGCGCGTGCGCATTCAGCCGACGGGGCGGATTGGAGGAGGAGAGGAGGCAGAGAGCTCTCCGCCCAGCGCTGGAAAAAGGTAAGTTTTTACCCCTTTCCCCCTTCCAGAGCCTGGCGGGAGGTGGCCCCTGAGGGTGGGGGCACCCTCAGGGCACTATAGTGCCAGGAAAACGAGTATGTTTTCCTGGCACTATAGTGGTCCTTTAAGTCTGAGGGAGCATTATCTGTGCATATCTCAACTTCCTCAGATTGTACCGAGCGATCTCCTGGAGAGAGACGGGAGAGGACTGGGGCCAGAATGTAGAAATGAACACACTGACATACAGCTACCCAGACTGCAAACGTCTTCACATACTGGTCCCCACACTGGTCTCCACACGCTGCAACTCATATTGCTGCACATTCTATTATACAAACATCTTGCTACACACACACCGCTGCACATACAGATACTACACACATTGTTACAAAGACTCCTACACATGCGGCCACCTACAATGTTACAAACACACACTACTGTGCACACAGACACACATTCATGGTTATTATCTACAGTTATAATGCAATGTGAATTTCCATTTTAAGGGCAAAGTACCTGAGCTGGAAGCATAGCTAGAAGCGAGGCGGATTGCGCATGCTCGAGAACTCTGTGCCTACAGGCGCTAGTGACGTAACTCTGTCCCTGTTTGGTTTCTAAGAAAGACTAAAAAAAAGTTTCCTTTTACTAGAGATGTTTATGCAAATTGCACATTGCAAGGTTAGCTGTAAGTGACAGATTTGTTATATTTCTAAAGTGTCTCTTTTGTCTAGTGGAAGATTCCACTATAAATAAACATAATAAAACATATATCTGAACTATACCTCTATAACATGCTTTGCAACAACAACAAAAACACACCCCGATTATAAGTGTACTTCCTGATAACCATTAAGAAGATAACTATTACGAGTGGAGGGTGGAAGGAGTTTGTGGTGTAAGGCGTTCTCTATACCTGTATATGTTAAAATTTAGCAGCAGAAGTATTTCTGGGCTGTATCGGGTAAAAAGAAAACAGAATTCATTACATTGTATTCATTTTTTTTTATATACCCATTCCTGATTAACAGGTTAATGTGGCAATCTCAGGAAGTGAAGCCATAAAATGATGTCCCCGTTCCTCACTTCTGCCATCTTTTTATCAAGATGTTAGTGTTCTGTTTGGCTGTTACATATGAAATCTATAAATGTACTTCCCCTCTTCTACAGCTGTTTTTTTTTTTTTTTTTGCACTGGGAACTAATTTTATGGAACTAGTGCAAACTGTTTATTTTGCACTCTTCCAAACAGCCCTTTCCTCATATGACTCAGCTTCTGGAGCTGGACTTTCAATACTCCCAAATCACAAAATACCTTTTACCTTGTGTCAACAGATAGAAATAAAACACACAGGAGAAGCGATTGCTCTGTACACTAAACAGAATGATTTGGAGATTATACTGATAGATAAAAAAAAAAAAACGTTCTGTCATCTCTATAGAGGAGAAGACAGCAGAGTTTAAGTATTTTTTTTGGGGGGGGGAGTTTGCTTGGAGGGGATAAAAACAAGATGGCCTCACCGCTGTCAGTGACAGGAGATCAGTGACTGGGACGGTTTCCTAACAAGGTATTTGGAGAAGAGTCCTAATATAAATGCACCCTGGTGATAGTAGCCGCCAGTGATTCTAGTAGGTGGGCATGCAAATTTGGCTCCACTCGGGAGATGACGTCGACGGGGGAGAAGAGGTCCACAATATACTGCGTAGCCCCCCATATACAGTGCAGACCCCCCATATACTGCGCAGACAGCCCCCTATATACAGCGCAGACCCCCCATATACTCTGCAGACCCCCCAATATACAGCGCAGACCCCCCATATACTGCGCAGACACCCCCATATACAGCGCAGACCCCCCCATATACAGTGCAGACCCCCATATACAGCGCCAGACCCCCATATACAGCACAGACCCCCCATATGCAGCCTGGACCCCCATATACAGCGGACCCCCATACAGTGCAGATCCCCCACAATATACAGCGAGACCCCCATATACGCGCAGACCCCCTGTGCAGTGCAGACCCCCATATGCAGCAGATCCCCCATATGCAGCGCAGACCCCCATACAGCGCAGACCCCCATATGCAGCGTAGACCCCCATATAGTCGACCCCCATATGCAGCGCAGACCCCCATACAGCGCAGACCCCCATTTTACTGCACAGGCCCCCATATACAGTGTAGACCCCCCATATGCAGCGCAGACCCCAATATAATAATGTACTAAAACCCCCCCACTCCCCAATATAATGCACTGAAACCCCCCTAATATAGGAGAGTGTTGGGAGCAGGGAGAGACTGACCTTGTTCCCAGAAAAGGCTTTACTCAGACAATCAGAGTCCGCTCATGCGCAGTATAGGGGTAGGGAGATTTCACAGGGCTTAATGGCCATCAAATTTCCCTACCCCTATACTGCGCATGCACGGTGTGTGAAGCGCTCCATGTCCCCAAGTGCGCACGCGCGCTGTACCTCCTACGGGAGTACTGTGCCACGCGTGCGCACTATGCCTTTAGGTTCTCTCCTCGCTGTGAAAAATCCCTACCTAGGTGGTGTGCGCCTGCGCGGCGGCGCACCCCCCCGTCCCAACGTCACTTCCGGTGCGGCTTCATCACCGGAAGTGACGAGGGTAGGGTTTTCTAACGGGGTAGTAAATTTGATAGAACACCGGCGCTGGATAAAGGTAAGTAACTGAAGGGGGTTTAACCAAACAAAACATTGCTGCTGCACGTTTAAAAAGTTAAATAAAATAGCTAAATCTCACCTCAATCCAGTGCTGAGAATAAGTTGTCTGTGTAGCCCGACGTTTCTCTGTTGACATCACCCTCCATTAGAAGCGGGGTGGTTTAAGGGCAGGACATATGTGGCACAGAGAAGGAACCATAAAGCCATTGGCTATCTGTTACCAGCATGCTGCGCTTGCTGAAGACATATGCCAAATTTACAGAGAACTAGCCTCTGGCAGCAGAGGTGTTAAACACATAGAGGTTTATGGAGAAATGCTGCACATACAGACTGCAGCCACCATGACTACTTTAAATAGCTGAAGGAGGGCGGATTGCGCATGCTGGAGAACTCTGTGCCCACAGGCGCTCGTGATGTAAATCTGTCCCTGTTTGGTTTCTAAGGAAGACTAAAAAAAAGTTTCCTTTCACTAAAGATGTTTATGCAATTACACAGTAAGGTTAGCTGTAAGTGACAGATCCACCTGGTTGAATAAAGGGTATAAAACACTTTATTTACATTCCTTTTCCCAGCACTGATGTCCCTCTGTGCTGGTTCGTGGCTCCGCACCCTCTGAGGGCCTGCAACAAGTGCGTTAGGCCTCCCAATAGGAAAGCATTGAATCAATGCACAGCGTGAGGACGTCCAGCGTCAGATACCAGACCTAAGGTTTGTTTTGATACAGGTGGCCCTCTAGAGGCTGTCTGGTAGACAGCCACTGTGGGCAGACTAAGAGCTGCAATGTATACATTGCAGTTTCTCTGGAACTACAATGTTTTACATTGCAGCACTGTGTGCAAAAGGGACCTCAGTTAGCTGAAGTGGTCTAGGTGCCTACAGCCTTCCTTTAACTGTAGTTGGCCTTGTAAGGAAGTGGGAGTGATATGCAAATCCGCCTGTATCACACGGACATGACTCATCTTGTGCATTTAGTGCCCTAGTGTCTGCTTTACAGATACATACATTTATGCAGAATAAATATTGCTCAAAGAGGTTCGGGATCACCCTTGGCTTTGAGTCTTCAATACTCATAAAGATATAAGCATCTGTTTGCTTTTAAGAGCGTGACTGGTGCAATAAATGTAAATGTTGAACGCTAATGAGTTTAACGCTAATAAATGAAAATGTTAAACGCTAATGAGGTTGTGTCCACCATTATAGACTAGTTCTAAAATCTTTGTGAGATTCCAGATGACACATTCACAGAAACATTAAACATCTACACAGTAAAGTCTTTATCAATATAATTAGACCGCTATCAGACCTAATTTCCTGTTTACCAAGAGACATCCAGAGGGATATGAGCAATATCATAAAGTTATCAATATAAATATTTAAAACATGTACAAAGTAAGTAATTCAATATTCACAAGAGGGTTTGATGGTAGCAAGATCGTTTAGCAGATTTCAAACTGAAATATTGCTGTTTCCACATTTGTGAAATCCATAGGAAAATGTTGGCTGATCCATTTCCTTGTTGTTACATGACTAGTCAATCACATTTAGAATTTCCATCCTCTCTATTTTCTGGTTTAATGACACCGGTGGTGGTGATATGGGCATATGGAAACTGTGTAACGATACATTACCCAGTGAATGCTTCACAAAATTCTACAGATAACTGGAGATTCATTAGAGAAGACGTATATTATCAGGGTTATTCGGAGAAGTGAGACTTTCACATTTAAGGCCCAAATTGCCCACCTGGAATAGTTTTTCCAGTTTAACTATTCTGGACTTACATTTAATATTCACTTTGAACTCCCTGTGAATGTGTGACAATTGAAGATTTTGCTAGCTTTAGTGTACTAATGATCTTAATTTTAATAAGAACAGGAGGCGAGTATTTTGCATTAACTCTCTTTACTAAACTCCACAGCAGTAAAGAAAACGTAAAGAGTAACAAATAAATCACTGAGCAGCATAGTATATAAGGGTCATGCTGCCTGTACACTTCCTCTTTCTTAAAGCGACATCCAAGTCCAGATAGAGCTCGAACATCCAGAAACTCAACGAAACAGTAACTGCGGTCTCTGGCGAGCGGAACTTGAGGAGACTCCTGGTAACGAGATAGGAGGAAAGACCAAACGAAGCCGTCATCCCATCTTACGGAGTCGTGAGGTTAACGAACCAGCGACCAGTGGAGGTCCTGAAGAGGGTTACACTGAAAGGAGAGTATAAAAATGGTTAGGTACTGAACCGTAACTGTTCACGCCTGTGGGTTTTAACAGAATGGTATAAATTAAACAGTACAGACAGATTGTAAGCTGGCCATAGGCTAAATATGTGTTAGGTGTAAGCATGTTGTACAACTAAACTGTCCGTCTAGGTGGAAACACTGGGAATAGAGATGGAAGGGATACCGAATATATCCAGAAGGTAGAGTAACTACTAACATGAATCCCAAATCCATCACCTTAAGATCCACTCCCCCGAGGAGTCAGGGTAGGGAACAAAAGGGAGGGAAAATACTCGCCTCCTGTCCTTATTAAAATTAAGATTCTTAGTACACTAAAGCTAGCATAATCTTCAATTTTATAACATGACAGGAGGCTTCCTATTTTGCAATTTTAACGCTGAAGAAGTGACATCCCAGCAGAAGGGGGAGTGCGAAAATAAAATGTACGGAATGTGGATTCCCTAGACCAGTCCGCCGTTCGGAGAATATCCGAGAGGGACGCCCCTGCCAGGAAGGCTGATGAAGCCGCCGCACCGCGAACGGAGTGGGCGCCGAACGCGGGATCTATACCTGCGAGGGAAAGGATCCAGCGGATCCATCGGGCCAGAGTGGTGACCGAGACTGGGGCGTGAGGGCGCACGTAGGAGACTAGGAGTTGGCCCGACGTAGAGGATCGGAGTGAGGAGGTAACGGAAACATACCTGCGAAGGGTGGACACGACACAGAGTTGCGGGTCGTCGGGGAAAAAGGGGTAGAAGACCGAAGTCAAACCCGACTTAGTGCGACGGGAAATGTGGAACGTGACCCCTTCCGGGGCCACCTCGAAAGCGTCCACGTCGAAGGCCCTAACGTCCGAAACCCGTCGGAAAGATACTAGACAAAGGAGAAAAGCGCACTTAGCGGATAGTTGGCGTAGGGAGAGGCGGTCATTCGGAAGCCAATCCCTGAAAAAACGGAGAACCAGTCCCACATCCCATATGTGAGGGTATCTGGGGGCCGGGGGGCGGCGGAGCCGCATACCGCGGAGTAGACGGCAGACCAGAGGGTCTTTGCCGACCGGGAGATCCCCGACGGGGGTGTGAGCCGCCGAAATCGCGGAGCGAACGACGTTGACCGAACGGTAAGAGCGGCCAGATGAAAACAAGGAGGAAAGAAAATTAAGAATCATGGGAATAGGTGCTGTAAAGGGATCGGAGTCCCGTTCCATGCACCAAGTAGACCAGGAGGCCCAAGCTGAAAGGTAACAGCGTCTAGTTCCCGGGGCCCATGAGTCCCATAAGAGGTCCCTAGCAGCCTGCGATAGTCCGCTGACTCGCCAGGAACCCCGGAAAGAGACCAAGCCACCAGGGGTAGCCGGTCTTCCAGGAGTAGTGGGTGGAGATACCCTTTGGGATCCGTGAGCAGGTCCGGGAAGGATGGTAAGGGGAGAGGGTCCCTGTAGGAGGAGGCCAGGAGGTCCGGGAACCATGGTTGGCACTGCGCATCATGAAGGTCAACATGACCTTGTCGAATTCAGGGGTCTGAGCGACCTTATCCGGCAGGGAAGGGCGTGGGCATTCAGACCTGAGTCGGCTGCGGACCTCCTTCTCCAGAGGTTTGCGGAGCCACAGGTGCATAAATCTGGAAAGGTGTTCTGGAGGTAACCAGTCACCCGATCTGGGGTGCCGTATGTTGCGGGGGTCGAACATCGCCTGACCTGAGGGGTCCAAAATGGTGTCTGAGTCTAGAGGAGGTTCTGCGTCCGCAGTGTCCTCAACACCTCCAGTCTGGGCCGCACCCAGGAGGGTCTCCCGCATGAAAGCGGAGACAGATTTCTCGTCCGAGCCCCATGCGTCGTAGTCCGACTCAGAAGCGTCAGCTTGCCATTCATCCAGCACTGACATGGACTGGGCAGAGCCCTGCTCTTCGTCTGAAGATTACTCCTGACGCGGGGCCGGGGTGTGTAGTTTGGCAGATTTGCGCTTGGCAGGTGCCTTACCCTTAGGCGGTTTGGGTGCATAATCCTCGCCTTTGTCATGGCGCTTTTTAGGGCGGGAGTCATCCCTTGTCTGGTAGTCGGACAAGTCGGAATCCGATTCGTGGCGTGTACGTCTGCGGGTTTTTGTTACGTCAGGAGCCGGAGCTCGCGCCTTGGAGAGTGCCTTCTCCACAGAGGCAGCGACAGCTGCGTTAATCATAGCCTGGAAGTCCACAGGGACGTTCTGGGAATCTTCCATGTTAGGGTAGGCTGATACGTCACTGAAAGGCACAGCAATAAACGGGCACCCAGGTCTTGATAATAGGCGTAGGGTCAGATTTGATAGTATGGTGGGACCAAGCCCAGAATAACCCCAGCAGGGTATAGTAGTGACCTTATAAACTGGGGCTCACCCAGTTAGAGAGAACTGCAACAGCTAGTCTCCCAGTAAGCAGCGTATTTATAGGTGGGGCTCACCCCGGTTGCACAGGGTTGGGACCCCTTAAGTGCAGGTCACAATAGTAAACAAGCAGATGAGGCACAGAGGCTGAGTAGCAGAGTGATAGCAGCTAGATCAGGGCCGGTGCAAGGATTTTTGCCGCCCTAGGCAAAAGTAAAGTTTGACGCCCCCCTCCTCCCCCCCGTGACATCGCAATGCCCCACCCATATGACCTGCCATGTTAACTAACGCTAGTGCTGCAGTGCCGCTGTGTTTACATTAAAAGGCCTGCAGGGACAGGCTATAGACACCAGGACCACTACATTAAGGTGCAGTGGTTCTGGGGACTATAGTGTTTCTTTAATGTGAGGTAAATTAGAGATTAGTGCCACGAATAATATACTAGATTACCTACTTACAAGCAGATGAGGATGATGATGGGCTCTAGCTGCAGTCTGGCTCCACTGGTCTGGTGTATAACAGGATCTCTGGAGGCTGTTTGTAACTGTGGTCACACAAATCAATGTTCTGGGAGAACGAGAAGCAGCTCCATTTTTTGGGGGCCCTTTACACAGCTCAAGGTCTGGGTCCCAGGGTCCACCTTCATTTTCCACCAATGAGTTTGTTCACAGGGGATGGAGTGTGTAGGGAATGTCCTGATTTGTGTGTAAGGAATGCATTGTGTGAATCTGTGTTTGTATGTGTAAGGGCTGCAAGGTGTGTTTCTGTGTATGTAAGGGATGAAGTGTGTGAGTCTGTAAGGGGTGCATTGAGTGTGTGTAAGGAATGCATTGTGTGTTTCTGTGTGTGCAAGGGATGCATTGTGTGTAAGGGTTGCATTGCGTGTGTGTGTGTAATGCATTGTGTGTGTAATGCATTGTGTATTTTTCTGTGTGCAAGGGGTTCATTGTCTTTGTGTGTAAGGGGTGCATTGTGTGTGATTGTGTGTGTGTGTGTGATGGATGTCAATCTCTCCCCCTCCCTTGTCACTCTCTTCTCCCCCCCTCCCTTGTTACTCTCATTCCCCCTCCCTCCCCTGTCACTCCCCCCTCCCTGTCAATTTCTCTCTCCCCGTCAATGTCTCCCCCCGTTAGTTTCTTTCTCCCCCCTCCCCTGTCAGTTTCTTTCTCCCCCCTCCCCTGTCAGTTTCTTTCTTCCCCCCTCCCCTCCCTGTTTCTTTCTTCCCCCTCCCCTCCCTGTTTCTTTCTTCCCCCTCCCTGTTTCTTTCTTCCCCCTCCTTCCCTGTTTCCTTCTCCCCCTCCCTCCCTGTTTCCTTCTCCCCCTCCCTCCCTGTTTCCTTCTCCCCCCTCCCT